GTGTCGGCCATTTTATGCAATGTGTATTCCCAGGGTACCTGATTGGTTACTTGATCATATTATCTCCGCCCACTCTGCCATGATCTCAGATGGTGAATTTGTATTATATTAGACATAAAGATATAAGAAAACGATAAAAATAACACGGGGGGAAAAACATAAACAATGCCGCGTCAGCGCTTGTTACGCAATGTGAGGCAAGGCGCTGTCACCATGCCTGTTATAAATGGCTGTAATTCCTTTTAGAAACATCGTACGAGGATAATAATTATACCAGAGTGTAGCCAGAAAGTTCAGCTATTTTTTGGTAACAATAACTCAATTTTCATATTTTTCGAGGTTGTTTTTTCTCTCCACGCTCAGACCCCTGTCCCCTCCCTAAAAAGTAGACACATATTAATACACATTTATTTTGCCTGACCACGTGATCGCCCACTATCTGTTCAGTTTGTATTCTTACATTGTCTGAACTCTGTATCTCGTTCTCTCTCTTGCTTACTCTTACGTTAACTAGTTGGCTCTCATTGACAATGGCGTCTAAGGTTAGCTGTGATAAAAAAGAGGAGTCGTAAGCCTCTTGCTTTAAGTGCGAAGTTAGAGGATGATAGTGTGCCATTCTGATTTTATTCAACAAACACCCTGCCACTCACCTCTCACACATTAATATTAATATTTTAAGGCAAGTAATAAGTGTACTCAGTGTGTATCTTACCTTTTATTGTGTTTTTAATGCCTATTTCTAATGCTAACTTAATATAAGTTAGTGTAAACTTGTTGTCTGGCATTTATTGCATATTTTATGTGCTCTGATAATAATACTTGAGGACCTGTGTGGTAGCCGGGCGGAGGGACAACATTACGTTTTCTCTGCTCAGCCATCAGAGAAAACGTGTATGAAACTGCGTTTAGCCCAGCCACTCCCTCACTCTGCTTTTGTTTGCAATTTTCAGCATGAATTTTTCATTACTTCTCCCTTCGTTTATGATGGCATCTAAAGGTAGTTGTTAGAAATGATTAAATTCAGTGAACAAGGTATGTCGATGTTAATAATATCATCTGAAATGATAGAGAATCTTTTCCCAATTGTAATAACACCAAAAGAACAAAATTTAATGGAAAACTGATGGAATTACGCTCTCGCGAAGTTAGCGACCTCAGCGATATTTACGAATCGGCGATTTCGCCCACTTTGAGCCATACTTTCGGCTAATTCCATTCTTCCAGTCGACCAAACTCATACCTATTTCTTTAGAACTCCATTTTTTTCTATTGATTGAGTACAAGAAACTGCCAATTTACCGAAATCAACTACCCAATAACGTGGTCAGAAATTGGCAATTTGGCCAATTTCACGAAAATTAAAAAATATGACAATTTCAAAATAGGGTCCAGAATGAACAAAGCAGACATTCCTAGCTCTAAAATAACATTTTCTTTGTTCATCAGTCGCATTTCCAGGTCCCTCTGATATTACTCTTGCTTTCTATTTTCAATTTTTATTCAAACAAAAAATAGAAGATTTACTGTTATGCAGACTATTGCAATATTGTAATGATTGTATAAATAATGTCAACCCATTCATGACTGCATATCAGAATGGCAACTTGGACATTTATTGGAAAATGACATCATTTGTTTACTTTCGAACATTGGCAAAAATCAAACATTTCCCCTAATTTGAGCTCCATTTCAAGGTTCTTTTCATAGTAAAACCAATCAAAATCACCTCTATTTCTATAATATGTTTTCCATTCTATCAAATGAGACCAAGAAAACGAGAATACAACCATAAATACTATATGAAAATAGACTACAAATTCGGCATTTTAATTAAAAAAAAAAAAAGTCGGAGTTTTTTTTTCTCATTATGCACTGCATGCTGCAGGATTTTTTTTTATATGGTGCACACTGACCACACAGACCCATTCTCTTAAATGTGGGCCTACCAGCTTTCTCCTGCTTGATTTGAAGCCGCTAGAATTTATGAGTATACATACGTCAAACACGATGGCTCATAAGACGTATGTATACGACCAAAACAGTCAAAGGGCTAAAAAGAGTGAGAGAAGTCACTTATTTGGAAGAGTGGGATATCCATTAATGAAGAGAGATATCCATTAATGAAGTGAGAGGAATATTCATTCAAGAAGTGAAAGGGATATTCATTAGTAAAGTGAGAGAGATACCTATTAGTGAAGTGAGAGGGATATCTATTAGTGAAGCGAGTGATAACCATTAATGAAATGAGAGGGATATCCGTATTGGGAAGATGGAAGGAATATTTTGAGGAATTGTTAAATGTTGATGAAGATAGGGAAGCTGTGATTTCGTATATAGGGCAAGGAGGAATAACATCTTGTAGGAGTGAGGAAGAGCCAGTTGTGAGTGTGGGGAAAGTTCGTGAGGCAGTAGGTAAAATGAAAGGGGGTAAGGCAGCCAGGATTGATGGGATAAAGATAGAAATGTTAAAAGCAGGTGGGGATATAGTTTTGGAGTGGTTGGTGCAATTATTTAATAAATGTATGGAAGAGGGTAAGGTACCTAGGGATTGGCAGAGAGCATGCATAGTTCCTTTGTATAAAGGCAAAGGGGATAAAAGAGAGTGCAAAAATTATAGGGGGATAAGTCTGTTGAGTATACCTGGTAAAGTGTATGGTAGAGTTATTATTGAAAGAATTAAGAGTAAGACGGAGAATAGGATAGCAGATGAACAAGGAGGCTTTAGGAAAGGTAGGGGGTGTGTGGACCAGGTGTTTACAGTGAAACATATAAGTGAACAGTATTTAGATAAGGCTAAAGAGGTTTTTGTGGCATTTATGGATTTGGAAAAGGAGTATGACAGGGTGGATAGGGGGGCAATGTGGCAGATGTTGCAGGTGTATGGTGTAGGAGGTAGGTTACTGAAAGCAGTGAAGAGTTTTTACGAGGATAGTGAGGCTCAAGTTAGAGTATGTTGGAAAGAGGGAGATTATTTCCCAGTAAAAGTAGGCCTTAGACAAGGATGTGTGATGTCACCGTGGTTGTTTAATATACTATTTATAGATGGGGTTGTAAGAGAAGTAAATGCGAGGGTCTTGGCAAGAGGCATGGAGTTAAAAGATAAAGAATCACACACAAAGTGAGAGTTGTCACAATTGCTCTTTGGGAGAGAGTATGAAGGAGGTGAATGTATTCAGATATTTGGGAGTGGACGTGTCAGCGGATGGGTCTATGAAAGAAGATGAGGTGAATCACAGAATTGATGAGGGGAAAAGGGTGAGCGGTGCACTTAGGAGTCTGTGGAGACAAAGAACTTTGTCCTTGGAGGCAAAGAGGGGAATGTATGAGAGTCTAGTTTTACCAACGCTCTTATATGGGTGTGAAGCATGGGTGATGAATGTTGCAGCGAAGAGAAGGCTGGAGGCAGTGGAGATGTCATGTCTGAGGGCAATGTGTGGTGTGAATATAATGCAGAGAATTCGTAGTTTATAAGTTAGGAGGAGGTGCGGGATTACCAAAACTGTTGTCCAGAGGGCTGAGGAAGGGTTGTTGAAGTGGTTCGGACATGTAGAGAGAATGGAGCGAAGCAGAATGACTTCAAGAGTGTATCGGTCTGTAGTGGAAGGAAGGTGGGATAGGGGTCGGCCTAGGAAAGGTTGGAGGGAGGGGGTAAAGGAGGTTTTGTGTGCGAGGGGCTTGGACTTCCAGCAGGCATGCGTGAGCGTATTTGATAGGAGTGAATGGAGACAAATGGTTTTTAATACTTGACGTGCTGTTGGAGTGTGAGCAAAGTAACATTTATGAAGGGATTCAGGGAAACCGGCAGGCCGGACTTGAGTCCTGGAGATGGGAAGTACAGTGCCTGCACTCTGAAGGAGGGGTGTTAAAGTTGCAGTTTAAAAACTGTAGTGTAGAGCACCCTTCTGGCAAGACAGTGATGGAGTGAATGATGGTGAAAGTTTTTCTTTTTCGGGCCACCCTGCCTTGGTGGGAATCGGCCAGTGTGTTAATAAACAAAAAAAAAAAAAAAAATCCGTTAATGGGGCGAGAGGGATATCCATTAATGAAGTGAGAGTAATATCCATTAATGAAGGGAAAGTAATATCCATTAATGAAGAGAAAGCGATATCCATTAACGAAAGGAGAAAGATATCTATTAATGGAGAGGGGTATCCGTAATGATAGGGCAGGTGAGGGGTTGTAATTCTATGTATGTTTATTTGGTTAAAAAAAAAAAAAAGTTGACGTAACACCATTAATAATTATGGTTTCTTCTATCACTGCAGCACCTAACATGTCTTCACCTAAGACACCTACCTTGTCCTGAACCTTATCTTCTATCACAGTCGCACCTAATATGTCTACCACATTATGTACTTCACCTAAGACACCTACCTCATCCTGAACCTTATCTTCTATCACAGTCGCACCTAATATGTCTACCACATTATGTACTTCACCTAAGACACATACCTCATCCTGAACCTTATCTTCTATCACAGTCGCACCTAATATGTCTACCACATTATGTACTTCACCTAAGACACCTACCTCATTCCCGAACCTTATCTTCTATCACAGTTGCACCTAATATGTCTACCACATTATGTACTTCACCTAAGACACCTACCTCATCCTGAACCTTATCTTCTATCACAGTCGCACCTAATATGTCTACCACCATTATGTACTTCACCTAAGACACTACCTCATCCTGAACCTTATCTTCTATCCCCAGTCGCACCTAATATGTCTACCACATTATGTACTTCACCTAAGACACCTACCTCATCCTGAACCTTATTTTCTATCACAGTCACGCCTAATATGCCTACCACATTATGTACTTCACCTAAGACACCTACCTCGTCCTGAACCTTATCTTCTATCACAGTCGCACCTAATATGTCTACCACATTATGTACTTCACCTAAGACACCTACCTCATCCTGAACCTTATCTTCTATCACAGTTGCACCTAATATGTCTACCACATTATGTACTTCACCTAAGACACCTACCTCGTCCTGAAGCTTATCTTCTATCGCTGTCGCACCTAATAAAGTAAGATTGTTTTCTATGAGTTGAGCCGCATCTTCTATTTTTCTTTCTCTAAACTGAAGGGCTGTACTTGCTTTATAATAAGTATTTTTCCACTCCTGAAAAAAAGAAGTAAGCAATTAGTCAAAATTATAGAATTTATGAAGCGTATTGAATTTATTTTTTAGAAAATTATCATCTTCAACCTCAGGATTTTCATTTCTAACACTGAGGAAAATCAAAGTCATGCCAATTATAAAGCCCATTAAGATACCAGTCTTCATCAACACCTTCAGTAAATTCATTTCTTATATATTCCTTATATATTTCTTATATATTTAATGAAAGAATATATACAAATAATCATTCCAAAAAAGAGAATTCAAAATAAATATGTTCCTACACATTCCTCGTCAAGTTAGATAAAACTCTATGGAGTAATGAGAAAGATGGCAGTGAAATCAAGTATTAGAAACATGTTGATGAAGACAATAAAATACATAAAAAACTGCAATACAAATGAACGAGGACCATATAAAATAAATGGTATCTCTAAATATAATCTACAATTTATTCATGTCTTTTTCCAAAACTATGTATCCTTTCACATACCTGAAACAATATAGATTGTTACCTGAATACTTCACAGTGCCAAGATTAATAATAGTGAAGACTAACAGTGTGGATCAAGCAAGCAGCAAGAGATGTTGCTGACTGAGTTCTTTATACCTATATTTAGGAATGACTTAAAACACTTCCTGTTGTTACACTGGGGTGTTTGTACAAATACATATAACACTTCCTTACATATTAAGATAAAGTAAAAGCACCATGAATTCGAAACCAAATTGGAAACTAATTTTGCCAACATTCAACTTCAACAAACTATCATCAAGGATCATCAACAATTACAGGACCATCTCAAGGACTTGTTAATATTGCATAATCAAGAACTCTCATCTGAACATCACAGTAGCAAATGTCCTGAGATTCTATGGTAAACTTTAATCTATTAGTATGGTCCACATTTAAAAGAAATAGTGCAAAAATTGTCAGCAGATTGGTAGAGATAATAAAAGCAATAACAAGGAGAATGTAGGAAAAGTGATGGGGAGGTGAGCAGAGAATACAAGAGAGAAGAGTTCTGTCTGTACAAAAGCACTGACTACGAAATGTTGGTATGAAAGTAGTTTGAGGGTGAATGGTAGTATATATTTTCATAATATTGCCTAATGTATACACATTGCCAAATACTATTTTTAACACATGCACCTTGTTCCTAAAAAAATTTTTTTTTCTTTTTTTTTAACAAGTCGGCCGTCTCCCACTGAGGCAAGGTGACACAAAAAAAAAACATAATACCCAAAAAGAAAATACTTTCATCATCATTCAACTCTTTCATCTCACTCACACATAATCACTGTTTTTGCAGAGGTACTCATAAACACAACAGCTTAGAAGCATATACGTATAAAGATACACAACATATTCCTCCAAACTGTCAATATCCCGAACCCCTCCTTTAGAGTCCAACCATTGTACTTCCCATTTCCAGGACTCAAGTCCAGCTATATAAAAATAACCGGTTTCCCTGAATCCCTTCACTATATATTACCCTGCTCACACTCCAACAGATCGTCAGGTCCCAAATACCATTCGTCTCCATTCACTCCTATCGAACACGCTCACGCACGCCTGCTGGAAGTCCAAGCCCCTCGCCCACAAAACCTCCCTTACCCCTTCCTTCCAACCTTTTCAAGGATGACCCCTACCCCGCCTTCCTTCTCCTACAAATTTAAATGCTCTCCCTGTCATTCTACTTTGATCCATTCTCTCTAAATGACCAAACCACCTCAACAACCCCTCTTCAACCCTCTGACTAATACTTTTATTAACTCCACACCTTCTCCTAATTTCCACACTCCGAATTTTCTGCATAATATTTACACCACACATTGCCCTTAGACAGGACATCTCCACTGCCTCCAACCGCCTCCTTGCTGCTGCATTCACAACCCAAGCTTCACACCCATATAAGAGTGTTGGTACTTATTATCATAAAAATTATGATTTTTATCAAACTCCTGGTTTGCACCTGTAAAAATCAATATGCTCTTCACCTCTTATTCCCTTCAGATGTGTGTGTATGTTCAGTAAAAATGTTGGATATCTGATGCATAAAAACTTGGATAGCCAAATTTTGGGTATTTGACTGCACTTGGTGAATGACTACAATATTATAGAGCTCTTTTATTTTTTCTCTAGTAGCTAAGATGAGCCTATATCTTAGCTAAATTTGACATATACTGTTTTTTATTAACACATCAGCTGTTTCTCACCAAGGCAGGGTGACTCAACAAAGAAGAAATGCTTTCATCACTCACTCCATCACTGTCTTGCCAGAGGCATGCCTACACTACAGTTCAAAAACTGCAACATATCCCCAACCCGCCTTCATAGTGTATGCACTGTACTTCCCACCTCCAGGACTCAAGCCACCTAAATGGTTTCCCTGAATCTCTTCATAAATGTTACTTTTTTAAGGCTTACAATTTTTTTTACAAGAGATTAATGAAAATGCCAATACCAATACCTCAGACAGGACTGAGGGCAAACTTTCTGTGCAGAATATCAGTTTTTTTACATAAAGCAGTCCATAAGGTAATTTTTTTATAGAAATTTTCAGGAAGCCATCATCATCATCATCATCATCATTGAATCCCACCAGTATTTTCAATGAACAGAGTACTGCAATAATGTCATGAATAGTTATATCAGCAGCAGCCACCTAAGATGAAGGAACAGGTACATGAAGCTCATTTTACAGTGATGTTCATCTTAATGAGGAAGTGCCCATTAACCCTTTCAGGGTCCAAGGCCAAAATCTGAAGGGGTGCCCCAGTGTCCAGGAAATTTTGGAAAAAAAAAAAAAAAAAAAAAAAAGAAGAAATCTTACAGAATTAAAGATAATATTTTTGTGAAGGTAATAATAAAAAAAAATTCTGATCAGTACTTACTGAGACACAGCAGCGGGAAGTTGACCCAAAATGACCGGGTGGCGGCAACATAAGTGACTTCCGCAAAATCGCATTTTTTTTTTTATGTTTTTTATACTTTTTTCTTTTATATTTTTTTTTTCTAGTAACATTTGTGGTCTGTGAGACCAATATAATGTATATTGTATAAGTGTACACTCATTGTATTCAACACAATAACTGCACTAATTTGTTTATCATTATATTGCTTACAAAACTTGTTTACAAGTTTATGGTAAACAAAATGATGAAAATATTAGTGCGGTTATTGCGTTGAATACAACGGTACCATATAGTACCATATGGTACAATGGTGCCATAAGGTGCAATGGTACCATATGGTACAATGGCACTATATGATAAATTGGTACCATATGGTAGAATATGGTACAATAGCATCATTGGTACAATGGTACCATGATACAATGGTACCATATGGTGCAATGGTACCTTATGGTACCATATGGTGCAATGGTACCATATGATACATTGTACCATATGGTACAGTGATACCACATGGTTCATTGTACCATATGGTACTACAGTGGACCCCCGCATACCGTTGGCCTTACATAACGTTAAATCCGCATACCGATACGTTTTATTGCTAAGATTTTGCCTCGCATACCGCTAAAAAACCCGCTCAACGCTGCTCGTCCGAGACGCGTCTGATGTGCAGCCTTAGCCACCCTCACATGTTCCGCCGGTGGCATTGTTTACCAGCCAGCCTCCGCGGTAACATCCAAGCATACAATCGGAATATTTCGTATTATTACAGAGTTTTGGTGATTTTATCTGCAAAATAAGTGACCATGGGCCCCAAGAAAGCTTCTAGTGCCAACCCTACAGGAATAAGGGTGAGAATTACTATAGAGATGAAGAAAGAGATCATTGATAAGTATGAAAGTGGAGTGCATGTCTCCGAGCTGGCCAGGTTGTATAATAAACACCAGTCAACCATCGCTACTATTGTGGGCAACAAAAAGGCAATCAAGGAAGCTGTTCTTGCCAAAGGTTCAACTGTGTTTTCGAAACAGAGATCGCAAGTGATGGAAGATGTTGAGAGACTCTTATTGGTGTGGATAAATGAAAAAACAGATAGCAGGAGATAGCATCTCTCAAGTGATCATAAGTGAAAAGGCTAGGAAGTTGCATCAGGATTTAATTAAAAAAATGCCTGCAACTAGTGATGATGTGAGTGAATTTAAGGCCAGCAAAGGTTGGTTTGAGAGATTGAAGAAGCGTAGTGGCATACATAGTGTGATAAGGCATGTGAGGCTGCCAGTTCGGACCACAAAGCAGCTGAAAAATATGTGCAGGAATTCAAGGAGTACATAGAAAGTGAAGGACTGAAACCTGAACAAGTGTTTAATTGTGATGAAACAGGCCTGTTTTGGAAGAAAATGCCAAGCAGGACCTACATTACTCAGGAGGAAAAGGCAATCCCAGGACATAAGCCTATGAAAGACAGGCTTACTCTGTTGATGTGTTCCAATGCTACTGGTGATTGCAAAGTGAAGCCTTTATTAGTGTATCACTCAGAAACTCCCAGAGCGTTCAGACAAAAGAATATCCTCAAGGCTAATTTGTGTGTGCTGTGGAGGGCAAACAGTAAGGCATGGGTCACTAGGGACTTTTTCTAATGATGGTTCCCAAATGCATTTGCCCCCAATGTTGAAAGATTACCTAACTGAAAATAAATTAGCCCTTAAGTGCCTCCTGGGGGTTAGACAATGCCCCTGGTCACCCTTCAGACGGGGCCAGAGCGATTTTTATGGAGACTTTGAAGTTCATTAAGGTGAAGTTTTTGCCTCCAAAATACCCTCCTCTCCTGCAGCCCATGGACCAGCAGGTCATTTCCAACTTCAAAAAAATGTACACAAAAGTTGTTTGAAAGGTGCTTTGTAGTGACCTCGAATCAACTGACTCTAAGAGAGTTTTGGAGAAGATCACTTTAATATCCTCAATTGTGTAAACCTTATAGGTAAGGCTTGGGAGGGAGTGACTAAGAGGACCTTGAACTTGCTTGGAAGAAACTGGGGCCCCAGAATGTGTAGACAAAAGGGATTTTGAAGGATTTGAGG